TGGTTTTTTTATTAATTGTTGTTTTTTTATATTTTTTTTTCTTTGTAAAATAAATTAATAAAGCAGTGTCCTTTGGTGGCTATCCCTTGTTGCAGGCTAACTGTAGGTTGATGTGTTGTTTGAAACAGTCTGAGTTACCAACACAAATTGCTGTACGCTAATTGCCAGCAGATACACACACAGGACATCCTAAACTGACTGGTACGCTGATGTTGTGACAAGTTCCCGGGGGCTCAATAACAGACATTTAGCAGCTGAGGCCCTTCGAGTGTTGTTACATAATCAACTAGGGAGGATGATAGAAAACTATTATTAGTCCGGTTTAACTCCACAAACAGTGTAGTGACACGAGTGACAAAGTTACCACAATATTACTAAACTAATGAATCTCTGCAGTTTGACTATTTCTCTCTCTTACAGTAGCTCTATCGTTAAACTCCGGTGCACGTAGATCAAAGTTTAATTTACACACACACCCGTAACACACACTCACACACACACCGTAACAGCAGCTCGCGAACAAAGCTCGGTGATTCACGCGAATAAACTTCATGTGAATAAAAATATCAGCAGAATATTGGAGACATCTGCAGCCAAGCCGCTTAATAAAATTAACCTCACTCAAGTTTCATGTTCATCTTGCCCCCCACACATTTTAACAAACATATTAACAAACTTTAACACCACATTTACAAACATTTAACACACATTTAACAAAAATTTAACAAACATTAGCGTCACTGGGGCAGGGCCTCCTGTGCCAGCTAACAACCGTTAGCATGTGCTTAGCGTTACACGAACAATGAAAAACAAAGCCATAAATTTCTTTAAAAAATTATTTAAAATACTTACAGTTACTTCCTCTGCATCTCTCCACAGACAGGTTGGTACAATCCCTCTTTCAGAACAGTCTTTCGTCAGTCCAGTGTTTGTACTGGACGAGTTTTGTGGAAAAACAGGGTCCGAAGCGTTCACACCATACATTCAGGGTTTTTCCGGTCAAAATAAAAATAAATCCACTTGTGCTCATTAATATGTAAATTAGATATTTTAGTGGTTTGG